GAATAAGTCACTGAACTGTTACACTGAGGGATCAGCAGATCTGCCAGAAACCCCATAAAGTGCCTTCACCCACTCCTCTCCCTACAGAAGGCACCAGCATCGCCTTTGCTTGCATCATCAGGGTTTCTCTGATCTACTCCTTAGGAACCACCACCGGGGAGATGCCCCTGGGCAGTGCCCTGCTGCCAGGAGGGGTCTGCAGGGCAGAGCTGAGCACACAGCCGGTGGGATGGGGTCTGTGAGCACTGACAGGGAGGAGATGTGGGACAGAGAAACAGCTCCCAGCGGGGACAGCTCCAGGCAGCACAGTGTCACTGCACCCTTCTGCATCCCTCTCTGCTCCACTGCACAGGGAAAGGGAAAAGAGTTTGGAGAAATGCACTTGGAAACGGGACTCTTCCACAGTCCCACAAGTCCATTTCCTTCTTCAAGTACATTGTTAGTGAGATCATCCTCCAGTGGAGAGCGGTGTGAGCACAGGGCACCTGTGTGGTGACCAGCAGGTCACTCGTGGGCAGAGCAGCTCTGCTGACTCTGCAGTGGGGCACAGGGAGCCCTTTTGTCCTTCAGGGTTCACCAATGTACAGGCTAAAAGCACTGTGAAAGAGAGGGATTTCTGCCCCTTCAGAGAAACTGGCCTTATTCAGAAGCCCAAATCAGATCTCACAAAAAGCAGCTGAATGAAATTATATCAAAGAAGTCATTTGGCAGGGATTTTCTACAAGAAATAGTTTTTATTTGCTCAGAGAAGTCTCTCCTAACTTGCCACTGTCTTTTCCCTCTTGGACAGCGCCCGATGCCCAGAGGCAGCAGATGTCCAACACCAGCTCCATCACCCAGTTCCTCCTCCTGGCATTTGCACACACACGGGAGCTGCAGCTCTTGCACTTCTGGCTCTTCCTGGGCATCTACCTGGCTGCCCTCCTGGGCAATGGCCTCATCCTCACCACCATAGCCTGCGACCACTGCCTCCACCCCTCCATGTACTTCTTCCTCCTCAGCCTCTCTGTTCTTGACCTTAGCTCCATCTCCACCACTGTCTCCAAAACCATGGCCAATTCCCTTTTAGACACCAGAGCCATCTCGTATTCAGGATGTGTGCTACAGGTCTTTTTCTTTCTCTTCTTGATTTCAGCAGAGTATTCTCTCCTCACCATCATGGCCTACGACCGCTACGTTGCCATCTGCAACCCCCTGCACTACGGGACCCTCCTGGGCAGCAGAGCTTGTGCCCACATGGCAGCAGCTGCCTGGGGCACTGGGTTTCTCACTGCTGTCCTGCACACAGCCAATACATTTTCCCTACCCCTCTGCCAAGGCAATGCCCTGGATCAGTTCTTCTGTGAAGTCCCCCACATCCTCAAGCTCTCCTGCTCACACTCCTACCTCCGGGAAGTTGGGTTTCTTGTGGTTAGTGTCTGTTTAGCATTTGGGTGTTTTGTTTTCATTCTTTTCTCATATGTGCAGATCTTGAGGGCCGTGCTGAGGATCCCCTGTGAACAGGGATGGCACAAAGCCTTTTCCATGTGCCTCCCTCACCTTGCCCCCTGTTTCTCAGCACTGGCATGTTTGCCTACCTGAAGCCCTCCTCCATCTCCTCCCCATCCCAGGAAGCCTGCAGCCCCCTGTGCCAGCCTCGCTCTCCAGTGTAGCACACAGTCCTGGCCTCGGGGCCCTTCCGGCCGCTGCTGCTGCCCCAGCCACAGGGCAACCTGGCCTGAGCTGGCACCTGCAGCAAGGGGTTTTTCTTTCCATGCCTCATTCCTTGGGCATATTTTTGAGAACAAATTTAGATGACAACCTAAGCCTTTAGGCACTGTGCTCAGGAAATCCCCTTTCATGATGAAATGCTGTTATGGAGGTCAGCTCTGTGACAGAAGTGCCCATTACCTGTCCCTGCCTGCAGTCACAAGACTGTCACACCACAGGACTGTGAGCAATCTGCCAGAGCACTCAGGCCTTACACCAACACAAGGATTCAGAAGTGTTTCCCCCCCTGGGGCAGTCAGTTCCAGGTGTACTGGATGACCCTCCAAGTGAAGGAAACTACAGCCTGCACTCTGGTGCCACAGAATAAAGAAGAACGCATTAGCAATGTCAATGGTGGCGTACCACTTGGCTGCCTTCGACTACAGTTTGTAGTGGAGTTCTAACATGTCTGGCATGGCAGCACTCAGGGGTGGTGTAACTTCATTTAGGCTGTGATAGTCCACCGTCAATCTCCATTCCCCATCAGAATTTTGCACTGGCCATATAGGACTGTTAAAGAGTGAGTGGGTCTTAATGATAATTTCCCGATTTTCTAGTTCTTGAAGAAATTTTATAGATGGGGATCAGGGATTCTCAATGGGAGCAATATTGTCATCGATGCACCATTGTGATGATAGGAATTGGCACCTGCTGTTCTTCCACTCTCAGCAGCCCCACAACAGAAGGGTCCTCTGAGAGGCCAGGCAAGGTAGACAGCTGTTTAATATCATCAGTCTCTATAGCAGTTATACCAAAGGCCCAGTTGATACCCTTTTGGGTCCTTAAAATACCCTCTCCTAAGACAGTCTATACTCAGAATGCACAGAACTTCTGGGTCAGTCACAATGGGGTGTTTCTGCCAGTCATTCCCAGTTAGGCTTATTTCAGCCTCCAAGATAAATAACTCTTGAGATCCCCCCATCATCCCAGAAATACTGACAGATTCAGTCCCTGTATGGTATTATGGGTGCACTGTGTGCCGGTGTCTACCAAGGCTTTATACTCTTGTGGTTCTGAAATACCAGGCCATTGAATCCACACAGCCCAATAAACTTGGTTGTCCCTCTCCTCCCACTGCTTGGAGGCAGGACCCCTCTACTCTTGTCACCTCATGTCTGGTAAGGAGAGGTTAGAGCCCCATCTACCCTGACTGGAGAGCCACCGACATGAAACTCAGTTGACAATCCTCCTGTTTCTCCTGGGGGACATCCCTTTTGTATTTGTCCTCCTTTGTAACTCGCGTACTTGTGCCTCTAGATCAGTGGTGGGTTTTCCATCCCATTTCCTCATGTCCTCTCCATGATCACACAGGGAAAAACCACAGGGCACCTAGTGTTGTGTACCATTTCTCTTGAGCTAGTCATGTAGGAGTGCATCTTTTCCTAATGGCTGTAATACGGACCCATGAAAGTGGAAAGTAGGATCTGTTCTCCATCTTGGACAGTTTGTCAAACAGTTTTTCCACAGCCGAGACACAAGCCTGTAGAGGATAAGGCAGATTTCCTTCATAGTGCCGTAATTGGCTAGTTAGTTCATCTATTGTTGGGTCCTCTCCATCTTTCCAGTCCATTATTGCTAATGTGTTGGCATACAACAATGGTGCACGCTGCGTAAACTTCTGCTATGTGGGTTGTGTGCATGGGTAACTGTGCATTGTCCGCATCAAAATAAATCATCTCCTGCACAGCTAATTCCATCAGATACTGGATACCTTTCTCCATGGGAGTCCACTTGCTTGGATGATATACAATATCTTCCTTGAAGGGATATCTTTCCCTTAGAGCTGACAAAAGTCACCTCCAAAAGCTGAGGGCTTGTGTCTTTTTCCCAATTGTTTTGTCAATGCCCACATCCCTGGAAAGGGATCCCAGCTGTTTGGCTTCTCTACCCTCTAATTCCAAGCTGCCTGCTCTGTTATCCCAGCATCAGAGCGATGGCTCAAGTCCTTTCACAAATATTGCAGTTCCTTTGAGTTTAGGGATCGGGTGATTATGTCTAGTTCTGCCTCTTTCCCCTGTTATTCTGATATCCCTGGTTCACCCTCATCCTCCACCAAGCAAGTTGGTCTTTTTGTGTATTTCTTCTTCTGTACAGGGTGACTGATACCAGCACAGGTTGGTCCCCTGACTCAGCTGCATCACCCATCATTGGGATCTGAATAGCCTGTAGAGTAGCCAGCAGGCTGAGCAGGCAGTTGACTGTTGCTGGGGCTGGAGTAGCTGCAGTATCTTTTCTCAGAGTTGAAGTGGCTGCAGTATCTGTCGGCAGGGTCTGAGTAGCTGCAGTGACTGTTGTCGGGGTCAAATTGGCCACAGTGGCTGGGAGCCACAGTGCCCATTGCCAGAGTTGGAGTGGTTGCAGTGGGTGATGGGGTGGCTTTGACACACGTTGCAGGAGTTGGGATGGCTTCACTGCACTGCTGTTTAATGATATACCACACTAGAAAAACATTCAGCCAAACCAATAATAGAATCATGCTAGTTTGATAGTCCCAAGGATATCCAAAATTCTCAAAATCTAGTGCAGTCAGGTTGACAGAATCACAGAATCACAGAATTGATTTGGTTGGAAAAGACCTCTGGGATCATTGAGTCCAACCTTTGCCCTAACACCACCATGTCAACTAGATCATAGCATTAAGTGCCATGACCAGTCTTAAACACCTCCTGGATGGTGACTCCACCACTTCCCTGGACAGTCCTTTCCAATGCCTTACAACGCTTTCTGTGAAGAAATACCTCCTCATTTCTAGCCTGAACTTCCCCTGGTGCAGTTTCCTACTATGCCCTCTTATCCTATCAGTAGTTGCCTGGGAGAAGAGGCTGACCCCAACTTCACTACAACCTCCTTTCAGGTTGTTGTAGAGAGCGATAAAGTCCCCCCTCAGCCTCCTCTTCTCAAGGCTAAACAACCCCAACTCCCTCAGCCACTACTGATAAGACTTGTGCTCCAGAACCTTCACCACCTTCGTTGCTCCAGCACCTCAAGATCTTTCTTAAAGTGTGGGGACCAGAACTGGACACAGCACTCGCGGTGCGGCCTCACCAGTGCCAAATACAGAGGGATGATCACTGCCCTGGTCCTGCTGGCCACACTATTCCTGATACAAGCCAGGATGCCGTTGGCCGTCTTGGCTACCTGGGCACATTGCTGCCTCACGTTCAGCCAGCTGTCAACCAGCACCCCCAGGTCTTTTTCTGCTTGACCACTTTCTACACGAAAAAAACTCTTCCCCCAGCCGGTAACACTGCATGGGGGTTTTGTGGCCGAAGTGTAGGACTCGGCACTTATTCTTGTTGAACCTCATGCCATTGGTCTCAGCCCATCGATCCAGGGCTGTCCAGGCTATCCCATCTGTCCAGGTCCCTCTGCAGAGCCTTCCTACCCTCCAGCAGATCAACGCTCCCACCTGACTTGGTGTCATCTGCAAATTTACTGAAGGTGCCCTGAATCTCCATGTCCAGATCATCAATGAAGACGTTAAACAGCACCAGCCCCAAAACTGAGCCCTGGGGAACACCACTTGTGACCGGCCGCCAACTGGATTTAGCTCCATTGACCACAACTCTCTGGGCCCAGCCATCCAGCCAGTATTTTACCCATCCTGGCAGACACAGATGCTGCAAGTCCTGCTATGCAGATGCCTCCATGGGGCTCTGGGAAATGCAATGTGTGGGGCTGGGGAATGAGCCCATTCTGTCCCAGTCAGAACAGCTTTAGGACATCCAAGTGTTTCCCTGGTGTTATCGTGCTGGAGGATGTTGAACACACTTTTCACATCACAAATAGGAGAACCTGTCCCTCCCCTTTCCCAGGTATCAATGCTGTAGGGCAGGGCTGACTCCTTGGGAGCCCACAGGAAGAGGCCCTGCTCCTCACAGCACACTAAAAATGCACAAACCACAGCTCCAGCCAGGGAGATGGCCACAGGTCCTGCCAAAAAGGAGTGAGGCAATTTGTGTTTGTGTGCATGGCGGGCCAGGTGGAGGGGTTGTCTGATGCCTATGACCGCTACGTTGCCAGCTGCAATCCTTGCACTATGGGATCCTCCTGGACAGGAGAGAATTGGTCAAGGCAATCCTCAGGCAGCTCCTGCTCCCCCAGCCACAGGGCAGCCTGCCCCAAACTGGCACCTGCAGCAAAGGACACCCATGAAGGTGACAAGGAAAGATCTAATTCCTCCAAGCTGGGGAGATGTGTTACATTGAGTGAACTTAGGTATTTCATCCTGCATCTTTAGACCTGGGGCTAGAAAGACATTCAGCTCTCTTTTGTCCATGCTCAGAAGCAAAGCCTTTGCACACACAGGGTCTTGGTCACTTGGCACTGCATTTCCTTAGGGCAGGTCCGAGCTTGCCTGGTTCCACAGCTGCAGTGCTGCAGCCCAGATGTGCAGCAATGCCCTCAGCCAGGGGCACAGCCAGGACGAGCTGGAGCCGCTACACAGGGCTGTGACAGGGTTGCAGAGCTCAGGACAGCTGCTCTTCAAGGACAGCATCCTCCAAGCTCAGCAAGGGGCCAGATTAAAACTGAATCTCAACTGGAAAGACAATTCAAGGGCACCAGCATGAGTGTTTA